GTCATTTGAATCTTCAAACCTATATCTGCAGATACCCATGTAGAAGTACTTGGTGAGAATGAGAGAAAGAGCCTTCTCTGTGGCTGCCCCCCACCTGTGGATCTTCCTTCCTAAGGAGTTAAAGATGGCCCCCTCCCTCCTCACTTTCAGAAAACAGCTGAAGACATACCATTGCTCACTGGCTTACAAGGAGGAGGAATAGTAGTGGGTATACTACCATTAAAGCTCTGATTAATAGTTGCCATTCGTATCCGTCCCCTACTCATTCTACCAGCTCAACAGATAACTTGAGCAATCAATCAATTTGCCCCAAGGAAATGGGAAATTATTGTTTCCATTCAATGTTTGATGTTTTGTCTTATGTCTGTTATAACAGACTGTGTTTTTTATTTAATTTTAGTTAAGTTATAATTCGTGTTTATATGTTGGGTTGTTTAAACTTTTTTTATTATGGATGTATTGTTGTTGTATTCAGGCATTGAATATTTGTTTTTTATGTTTGGAATCCACCCTGAGTCCCTTCGGGGAGAGAAAGCGGAATATAAATAAAGTTGTTGTTGTTGTTGTTGTTATTATTATTATTATTATTATTATTATTATTATTATTATTATCCTTTTCTTCATGTCAGGAGCGACTTGAGAAACTGCAGGGATGCTTGGATGTTTTACCATCCTGTGTGAGGCTTCTCTTACGTCCCTGCATGAAAAGCTAGACCTGACATATGGGAGCTCACCACACTGCCTGGATTCGACACCTGGATTCGACTTTCTGTCAGCAGCCTTGCCGATACAAGGATTTAATCCACTGTGACACCCGGAGCACGAAGTACTTGGTTTAAACAGGCTATGACTGTGATCAGGAGACTGGTGTGTCTGCTTAGGATCAAATCACATTTATTTATTTATTTATTTACTTTGCTTGTATACCGCAGTTTCTCAGCCCGTAGGTGACTCAACGTCGTGTTATACCACAATTGTACTGTGTTATTACCATCTTTGCCTAGCATTTATCACATGTCAGGGCTTTCTGAGCACAGTACTATTCGTGGAACGCAATTACTTGCCCACTTGAAATAATCCATTAACCACTTTGGGTGTTTTTAACCACTTTGGGCATGAACGTTTTGTTCTACTCTGTTGTGATATAGGGAACTGAATGGGCCTAGTGTGGGTGTGCTTTCATTGCTTCTCCCCTGGGGAACTCGACAAGGAAATCCCAGACTATTTCCAGAGGAAGGGCACTGGGATTCTCAAAACTTCTCAAGACAGCTGCTGTATGTTCATTCACTCCAGGTGCCAACAGTTAAGCAGAACTTCAGCACCTCTCTCCTGCTCTGCCTTTTTACCTTATGCTCTTGTTCTTTTTTTCATTAACTCTGAAGCAGACTTTAGCTGAGCAGTCTGTCAAATATAAGACACTTTCAAACAGAGGATACCTCACTGATGAACAATGTACAGTATTCCTCACACCTAGCCTTTCACAGACAGTGTAACAGCCCCTGCTTCTGCCAGACACACCACAAAAGGAAAAAGGATTGGGAGGGAGGAGGAGGAGGAGAAAACACATTAAAGGGAAATTGAAACATCACTCTCTGATCTTCCAGGGTCATCAAAACACAGTGTTTTTTGCTCCCTTCCCCTACCATGCATATCACTACGGTGGAGCTTATTTTGCTTGATTCTGTATCCCTCTTATGGATAGGAGAATACTTATCTCCCCCTGACAGATGAGCTAAACAGCTGCTCCCAGCCCTTCCTGCTTTATCAAAGCTACATTAATCATGTTACTTACTGGCAGCTACCAGCCACCCACCTGCTCTCTGTTCCTGTTAGCATCCAAAAGTATTATAAGTACCTCTCTGTTTTAATGTCTTGCACAGCCAGACAAAAAGGACGGAAAAGAAGGTGTCTTTTCCACTCACCCTTCATCCATAAGACTTGCTCTTTTTGTAGGTTCTGTCCTCCAAATTAAAAAAAAAACAATCAGTCCACAGACTGATTTGATCGCATACCATCATGCAATAGACAAATTTAATACTCTCCTCTGGTGAAAATCCAATGCCATCAGTTTGCGGGAATGCTTACATCATAGCAGCATGTCATACAGGACATCAAGATAAGGTTTTATGTGTGGAGTGAGAGCATGGGATGCATAGAAATGAAATTAAGGACAAATTCACAACAAAGTATATGAATTGTCAAAGGCTTTCATGGCCAGAATTACTGGGTTGTTGTAGGCCATCAAATGCTAACCTAGGTGGCCAATTGAAATATTCACACCTAGATCCAACAGACAAGAGTTCTTTTCCCTACCCTGGACCTTCCACAGATATATAAACCCAATTTTCCTAGTTTCCAACAAACCTCACAACCTCTGAGGATGCTTGCCACAGATGCAGGTGAAATGTCAGGAGAGAATGCTTCTAGAATATAGCCATACAGCCCAAAAAAACCTACAGCAACCCAGAGTATATGAGCTTTACCAAATCTTATACAGTGCCCTTGCAAATAAAGAGGGGCAAGTAAAAATACCTGTAAAAAATATAAAACACATGTCTAGGACAGATGAACAGTGAATATTATTGTTATCACTCTGCAATTTAGCAGAGAAGTAGTTAAAGCACAAACCAAGTGAAGATAATAATACTCTCCTGTTTACCTCTGTCCTAAAGATATGCATTTTATAATTTTGCCAGCAATTTTATTTGCTTTTTCTTCTTCCTGTACCATAGACAGACATGTATGGCCCATGGAACAAACGTTTTTAAAGAGGAATAAAGATTACTTTTATTCTGCCTATTAGCAAATGCTTTCCTGCCTGTGTGCTGGGAGGTGATTCAAATTCACCACTGGCAATAGGCTCGTCATGATTTATAACTTTCTTGGTCGCTTCATTTCCCATCCTATTCTGTGCAAGCATATTACAGAGCACTCTTTAAAAATGAGGACAGAGGAAATGCCTGATTGGGAGTTCTCCTCAGCTATTCTTCCCCCAAGATTTATTTACACGTCCCAAGATTCATTTATTTCATACAATTCGATCAAGATTTATTTATTTTATGCCATTCCCCTTCAAAAAATATGGTTAGGCTGCAGAGTGCAATCCTTTCCATCTTAACTAGAAATCAGTTTGCTCTGCCTGTTTGTTTTTGCCTAGCACTGTTTGCACTGTTACAGGCTAGATGGAATTACTCTCATATAAACTGGCTTTCACATTATTCCTCCCTACAAGCGGAGCCATTTTTTATTTTATTCTATTTTGTGTGGCATATTTGTATGCTGTGGTTTGCTATATGGGAAGAGCATCTTTTGAATAGAAAAATGTGGCTCCAACATACTGATTCTTGAAGTATTAAAATCAGAGCTGAAATAAATCTCATACTTGGGAGTAGAGAACTACTAGAGAAAAAACTAGAGAAAAAAATCCACTTAAAATCCGGTTTCTGCCTCCTGCAGAATTCTGGGGTTTGTAGTTTAGTGAGGCTGTTAAAGGCTCCTCCCTAAACGACAAACCCCAGAATTCTGCAGGAGGCAGAAACCAGATTTCAAGTGGATTTTTCTCTCTAGTGTTATGTAGTAGTTATAAATGGTAGTTCTGATGTCATTTTAAACTCATCCCATTCATATCCACCAAATGAAAACTTTCATTGATATACACATTATAAACACATGATAGAAATATTTAGCACTTTGCAATTATTTGTGTATCTTATCTCTGAAATTTAGCATAACAATGTATCTAGCTACAAGGGATATATTTCTATACCTAGCTACTAGGGATGTGTTTATAACTAGTCACTAGGGATATATTTCCACCTTGAACCTAAACTGAAGAGCTTTCATTGGTCCCCCCCCCCCCCCCGAGCAGCTTCTGAGATGATCCATGATTTAGAACATAACAGAGATTCATGCAGCCCACCAGAAGTTATTGGATTACAAGTTTCAACAGTACATCCAGCCAAGCCATTACTGAATAATGATACAAATTACAGTCTGATGACATCTGTGAAACTGCATGGTTTTATCCCTCCTTTAGAAGGATAAGAGCTTGCATACTATATTTGACAATATGTTGGGTGTACATGTAACTTATAAAACTTGTAACCTGTAAAAGGGGGAAAATTTGGATGGCTTCTCCCTCTCGAAAACCATCATACACAGTGTTGTGCACAGAATAATAATAATTGTTGCTGTATTCCTTCAAGTCATTTCAGACATATAATAATCGTATCATGGTGTTTTACTGGTAAGATTTGTTCCGGGAAGAGGGTGTTGCTTTTACCTTTCTTCTGATGCTGAAAGACTGCTGTGACCTGGCTAAAATTACCCACTGGCTTTTCTTGGCTGACTCTCTAAAGCAGAGTTTCTTAGACGGTGCTCCTCCAAATGTTTTGGACTTCATCTCCTACAATTCCTAACAGCTGGTAACAGTGGTAAGCCAGCTGGGATTTCTGGGAGCTGAAACCTGGAGGAGCACAGTTTGAGAAACACTGCTCTACAGTCATAACTCCTCAAACTACTTACCATGTTGGCTCCCTGTAATAACAGCTTGTCATTTAGTACCCCATCACACCTTTTTAAGCATCTGGTGGATAGTCATGCTGCCCATAACACGACATCATTAAACTTCCCGCTGTAGTCCTGCAGGAGTGGAAGCATCGTAGGACACTTCCCTCCTAACATGGGAAGGTCCCCTTGTTGTCCGATTGATCCAGTCCACTTCAACAATGCTTCTCCTATGTGATGGGGGAAACAGCACCATTCTGAAGTGGCACACGGGGTTACTTTGTCACCCCGTATCCCTGCTTTTTCAACATGGAGGCTGGTGAAATTATACCAGGGCAGGGAAAGTCCATGTGATGAGGTCGTAAGGATGATAATACTTCCTGTTTATCTCATCAAAAGATACACACAGTATATCACTACACAGTTTCTTCATGCAAAAAGAAAAAAAAGTTGACAGCCTCATTGCTTGCTGACTTTCAGCCTCACTCACCCACCTATACAGACAATGTCCATGAAGCCATACATTCCATAGCAGATCTGGAAGAGCAGGTCTTGGCGTTGCCATTTAGCAGAAGGACTGAATGTTGACCAGATGAGCCACGAGATACTCGCAATAAGGAAAAGGGAACCCAAAATAGCTGCTGCTATCTGCACCTTCTCAATGACGGTCAGAGAAATGGCCTGCCACTGCAAGAGAGTGAGGGAAGAATAGACAAGACAAATTAAAAAGAAAGGTAAGAGAAAGATAAAAATGGGCATTAGTTCCATATGCAATGGCATCAGTGGCTACCAATTAATATTCTAAGTATTACACATGGATCTTTGTAATACAACAGAAGATAACAATTTTTGTGGAGCAAACATGGTGGTGGAAATTTCTAGCCTCTTCCATTTGGACTATAAGCCAGAGGTCAAACAGACCTCAGTGGCCTCCAGACACAAAGGTAGATCCTGAAAGTGACAGAAGAATATTACTCCTTAGCCTCCCAGGAATGAGTACATTGTGTTCTGCTCCCTAGTTTGTTTGTTTTACAGCATGACATTTTAAAAAAATGATATGATGTGCCCTATCATAGGATAATTACCTAAGTATACTCTTCAGTTTAGATACAATTATGGGCTATCAGCTCTAACTCCCTGTTTCAATGTGGGATCTCTAACTAGAATATTCCCAGGTAGTAGCTGTTCCACCTCTTTTTAAAGTAATCCAGAGAAAGAGACCCCACTACACTCTAGGCAATTGGTTCCTTACTGAACTAATCTCACGGTCACAAAGTTCCTTCTAATGATCAATCAAAACCTGCCTGCCTATATCTTAAGAACATTGTATCATGTTCTTCCCACTGGGAACCAGGAGACAAGACTTAGTTAACCCCCTTTTCAGCCCTTATGGAATCTACATAGTACATTCATCTCATCCCTTAGTCTTCTCTTTACCAAGTCCAACTATGGGCTGAACTGGAATAAAGACAGGGTACGTATAGTCCATCTAGTGCAATTTCACAATTATCTTTAAATGATTTCCCATCGGATTAACTCAGGGGTTTACATCATACTCAACTACTAGTCCCAGCTGGTAAGACCCACTGAATCAATGTGATTTACACCACAAAAGATGCCTATATCTCCTCCCCATCCTTTGTTAGATTTTTTCTTTTCTTTTTGTAGTATGTTTCAAGTTCCTAATACAATCTGACAACATTATTTTTTTATAATTTTCTTTTATTACGTTTTTCCATTCAGGTTTCAAATTTGGTTTCCACATGTAAATGTCTGCCTCCCAAATGAATTATTTTAATATACTGTTGTTTCAGCACTCTGCTTTGATTTTGATTAACAATATCTTCCTATTCTATGCGCTTATTTTTCCTTATCAGTCCTTTCAATTTTGCCTCATTAGCTCTCTCCCATCTTTTATTTAACTCTGAAGGATCTATTTCATTAAAAAGAAATCCCAAAGTAATGGATCAGGATTAAACATATTCTTATGTATATTGATTCCAGATTGTCACAGCAGCCCTTGCTATTATATTTGAAACATTATTAATTTCCTCTTTCCTGCTTCCTGGCCAAGGCAAATACCCCAGCTGTACCAAACAATCACTATCTTAGTTTGTAACATAATTCTTAAATTTGACATTACAATACTCTTGCAACTGTTTATCATCCTCTGATCATAATCCAATCACATTCCAAGGCACACTCCTTTTTTGTGACTATGATTTAGCAACCTCATTTGGGAAGGAATCCACTAGTCCTTAAAAAGCTCTTCTTGGGAGACAGGGCTTTTCAGAAGTACCTTTCTGAGGATGATGAGAGATGGAAGTGTTTAGTTTAGTACTGGCAGGTTCAAATCCAGGAAGAGCACGGATGAGCTCCCTCTGTCAGCTCCGGCTCCCCATGCAGGGATATGAGGGAAGCCTCCCACAAGGATGGTAAAACAGCAAAACATCCTGGCATCCCCTGGGCAATGTCCTTGCAGACGGACAATTCTCTCACAACAGAAGCAACTCGCAGTTTCTCAAGTCACTCTTGACACACACACACAAAAGAAGGAAATCTAACCTCCCAGATCTTTGACCTTCAGCTGTGGTATAGTTAGCTGATCTCCCAATGTCAGAAAGGGCAAAACCAATGATGATCTCCCAATGTCAGAAAGGGCAAAACCAATGATGGTTCCACCAGATTCAAAACATGTCTCCAGATTTCCAACAGGTTTTGGAACAGGAGGAAAAACATTATGGTGGTACTGGAGTTAGGGTGGTTTAGTTTGGGTTGTTGTGAGTTTTCTGGGCTGTGTGGCCATGTTCCAGAAGCATTCTCTCCTGACGTTTCGCCTGCATCTATGGCAGGCATTCTCAGAAGTTGTGAGGTCTGTTGGGTACTAGGAAAATTGGGTTTATATATCTGTGGAATAATGTCCAGGGTGGGAGAAAGAATTCTTGTCTGTTTGAGGTAGGTGTGAATATTTAAATTGGCCACCTTGAATAGCATTTAATGGCCTAGCAAGTTCAAAGTCTGCCTTCTTACTGCCTGGGGGATTCCTTTCTTGGGAGGTGATTAGCTGGCCCTGATTTTTCTGGTCTGGAATTCCCCTGTTTTCGGGTGTTGTTCTTTATTCACCATTATGATTTTGGAATTTAGTTTCTTTTCATACACCAAGAGCTGTTCATAAGGATGGATCCTTGAACTCAGATTTCTCAACTCTTCAAAGCCAACACTCCAGGTTTTGGGGGCCTTCTGCAACATCACAGCAACCTAATAATGTGCTATCATAATCTCCAAGCTAATGCGGATCAAATGCATGATAAAATGCCCCGGTCAGACACCCTGCTGCTACCAGGCACAGAGAGCTACATCACTGAGCCCTTGTAAGGGCTAACTAGGTCAATTGAGTTACTCATGGGCTTTTCAGTTTCACAGTTTTAGCACTAAATTCCACAACAGCCATGAAAACATCTGTGAAATCTTGGGATGTGTTGTCTGAGGAGAGACATTAAAAATTCTTTGCCAGAGAATTCCTCTGGTGCCCCTGACCAAACTACAAATTCCACAGGATACGGCCACAACTGTTAAAATCGAATCATGGTGCTATAATTGTATTGTGTGAAAGGGGCCTGACAAACCAAAGCAGACCAAGTAATTCCATGAATAGAGGTAACTAAATTGGGAGAAGAGAGACCAGGGGGAATTCAGAATCATCAGTACTGGGAGGTGGCACAAAATTCATATGCAAAAGCAAAGAGGGCAGAACAAGGAAGAACCAAAATCTATAGCATGATATGCCCAAACAATGATTTTAAATGATACAAGAAATAAAGAGATGTCTAAATTGGTTTTCCAAGTTATATGAAATAAAGCATTGTCTGTGAATATTAATTTTAACAAGACTTTGGAATTAAATGTAAAAAAATAGTAATAATAACAGAGTAAAATAATAAATAACTTTGACATGAGTATAAGCCGAGGGGGGCTTTTTCAAAGGGCTGAAAAATTCAGCTTATAAAGAGTATGTATGTGTGTTTGTGTGTGTGTGTGTGTGTGTGTGTGTATATACACACACACAAATATACATACACACACAGTATATGAGTTTGTGTGTGTATGTGTGCGTGTGTATGAATGAGAGATTTATTTTGGGGGGAGCATGTCACAACCATTTTTAAAAATGAAATTATCAGTCTATCATGCAGATATGCCGTTAAGTAGTTTATTAAGGCTGTGTAATGATTAGCTCCATGAAAAGAAAAAATGGGGGGCATGTTATCTTTCTCTTGTGCTTTTTCTAGTTATTCTGGATAGAAAGTGCCTCTTTAATGAGAGCAATTCAAGTTAAGTGGCCACTTCACCGAAGCTAGGAGCCCTCTAAATGCACTTTTGTTTCCCAGATGAATGTACAAGGCTGTCTGGAAACAAAGGTTACTTGGGATACATAAGATTTCCTGGAAGTCATTTTTAGATCTGAACAAGGAGTATAACTGGAGAGATTTTGCCCCATCATTGTTTTTGAATAGGCAACATAAAGCTTGGTGTCTTTCCAGCTTCATGGGCTTTGCAGCTGGAACTGAAAGCTGGGCATTATTGGACTACCATAATACTCACCTGGCTGGATTTGTCTGCACTTTACATATGGCATCCAGTCCCAATCTGGTTCATTATCTGCTTTGGATTCAAAGCTTTCAATCAAAAACAAGTCTCTAGCCTTTGTTTGGCCCAAGAGGTGTGAGTTAAAATTCTGCCCAATATTTCTTCGTAAAACAAACCTGCCAATGCCTTTCAGTGTGTTTAGCCAATGGCTGCAGTTTTGCACACATGACTTTTTGTTTTATAGATTCATAATTGTCGATGTGATCCATCTTCCCAGAATTCACTCAGTTAATTTCATCAAGTGGTGGTGATGTATTGAAGAGTGAAGCTGTTTTACAGAGATCTTTGCAAATATTGAACAGAAAACAATGGAGTCAATGGAGGGGAAATACAACCAAACAGAGGAAATCTAATATCAAAATGCAATTAGAGTAGGCCCTTAGTATCCACAGGGGTTTGGTTCCACCTGCCCCCAACACCAAAATGTGTTCAAGTCCCATTTGAAATGGTGTCTCTTATAGCAAAATCAAGATTTGCCTTTTGGATTGTGTCTGGTGCTCATGCTGATGTTCATGTTGGGAATGGGGATGATGTTCCTGATGGTGGGACTGGGTCTATTGGCAGTGGGAATGAGGGTTTGCTTGGGCCTGAGTTAAGCTCAGACGAGAGGCCCAAGCTGTCTTAGGAAGATTAAACAAGGCCACATTCTTGGGAGAGGCCCTTTGCAGCTTTTCTCAAAACAGCTATCTGAAGATGATTTGTCAGGTGCAGAAGTTAATGAGAGTCAAGATAATGGGAGCATAGATAGAAAGTATTCAGAGGCAAAGACAATCGGTTCGGTTACAGGAAAAGAGAGATAACAAACCCTTATCTGGTGGTAAGGTCAAAAGAAATGCTTTCCTTTCAGTTTTGGGATCTGAAAAAACCATATATTGATTCATGGGTAAGAGTTGCCTCAGTCGGGTCAATGTTGGAATTTCATCACGGTCTTGCTTTCAAGTGCTCTTAGTTTCATGTACCAAGTTTTTGTCAAGCTCCAGATTTCTGTACGGGATTTTTCCTGCTATCTTGCTTCATGGATTCATGTGCCTAGTTTCATGGATTTTATATACCGATGGGTCTTGTTTCCCCTTGAAGCTTATGGAATATTGTATGTATTGGAACTTTACTATTTTTTGCAATTTTTACTGCTTTGCCTACATATATTCTTCAATAAACTGCTTGCTGAATTTACTAAGCTGGTGTGGTGTTTAAGGTCAACAGACTGTGCCTCTCCCCTGCACTGCTTCTACTACTATCTTAGGGCTGATCCCAAAATATCTGCTTTAAACTGGAATATATGAGTCCCCACTGCCCTGGGATAAACATATAATTTGGGATCAGATCCTGGGATATAGGGGCAGTTTGGAAGGCCCCCTACTGTGGCTCCCTCTTCCTTTGCTTGTTGCCATGCAACACCAGCAGTACTACTGTCTCACCTGCCTGCCTGCCTACCTACCCTCCATTTAAAGCAGCACTGCCTATTTTGTGTAGCTGCTTCTTATTTAGAAGATAGGGGGATGGCCAGTTGAAGTGGGGTGGATGGTAGAGAAAGGAAACCAAGATTGGAAGGTGCATCATGAGTGCAAGAGAGGAAAGAGGGAAGAGATATGTCAAGTGAGTGCCCAGGTGAGAGAGGTTGGTCATCAGTCCCAGGTGAGGTAGGGAAGAGGGAGGGCCTTTCCACACAGTAATATAACCCAGAATATCAAGGCAGATCATCCTCAATAGCTGCTTTGAACTGGACTATCCGAGTCCAGATTGCTAGATAATCCAGTTCAATGTGGATTTTATACAGCTGTGTGGAAGGGGCTGGAGAGATAAAAGCGTGGGATTTTTTTTCCATGTCAGGAGCAACTTGAGAAACTGCAAGTTGCTTCTGTTGTGAGAGAATTGGCTGTCTGCAAGGATGTTGCCCAGGGTGTAAGGATGTTTTCCAGATGTTTTACCATCCTGTGGGAGGCTTCTCTCATGTCCCTGATTGGGAAGCTGGAGCTGACAGATAGGAGTTCACCCCACTCCCCGGATTCAAAGTGGTGGAGTGCAAGAAACGAATGAAGGAGGCATGTTAAAGATGAGAGATGAGCCCAGGAATAGTGTATTCTCTTAACTTCAATCCAGCACTCAACTAGGGAGCTAACCTAAGCCTCACATGGGGCTAAAATAGCCCTTTCTTCCTGCTTTGACACTTGGCAGGTCCCACCCACATTCCTCCCAAAGTGTAGGGGAAGCACCAGAAGACGCTTCCTCCACCACCATAGGGAGGAAAGTGTGTTTTGGGTAGCTCCAATGGAGATACCTGCACTTTCCTCCCCTGTCCCCATATGATGGCGAAAGGGCGGTGGGGCAACACATGTTGCCACCCTTTCTACTATCTGATGGGGACAGGGAGAGGGTGCCAACATGCCCTGTCCCATCCCCACCATGTGATGGGGGAAGGAGGGTGCGTGGGGCACCACGAGCCTTAGCTCTTGCTGGCAACTAGGTCTAATGGTACTGGTCAACACTGCAGATTTGATGTGAACGATGAGAATGTGAACGAACAGTGTGAATTACACTTCACGGCAGGTGGTTCCTCTCTCTCTCTCTCATACAGTGGAATACGCTGCCTGGGAGTGTTATGGAGTCTCCTTCTGATTCCTTGGCCCTATTTTTGGTTGTGTTTTCTCCTGTTTGCTATTCTCCATTCTTTCCCCCTTTACTTTAAAGCTAATTGTGATGGCTGTTTATTATGCTGATTGGTTCTTGAGCCGTATAGATGCTGTGCTACTAAGGGAATTGGGGCTGGGGGGAGTTAAAGGGGGATTTAGATTGTTCTGTAACAATGTGTGACACTTGCATTATGTTGCAACCTGCCTATGGTGTTGTAAAGCTGATTAAAAAGCACAATGAAAACTATTAATAGAAAAGAAAAAGAGGCCACTCTTGTTTGATCTAAGAGATTGCACTGGGAGTTAAGGAAGGAATGCTCACATATGGATATTTGGCTCAAGCTGTGAATTAAGTTATAGATCAAAATTAGTGCCATGGCATGTTTCCAGAAGATTGGGAACCAGTTCTCAAACGATGGTGATATGTAATCTCTGACACATCCCTACGGGGGAGCCAGCATGATATATAGTATATAGAGTACCTAGGCCTGCCCTACTATTAAAGTAAAGGTAAAGGTTTTCTCCTGACATTAAGTCCAGTCATGTCTGATAGGCCTGGGTAACAACGGAAAAATTTGTTTCTAAAATCGATTTGTATTTGGGGGTTTTTTTGTTTCGATATTTAAAATAATTACAAAATTTTCCCTTAAAAAAGTTCGGTATTTATGAAATTTCGTTAATATTAACGAATCAATTCGTTAAAATGGCGGACGCGGTTGCGCGACGTGAAAATAATAGTTTTAAATAACCTCGGAGAAGGAAAGAGGGGGGAAAGAGAGAGAGAGGAGGGGTGAAACAAACCACTTTCTGCCTTCGTGAATGTATGGGACAGTGAAAGCAGTACTGAAAGATGGCCATCCATTCTTAATAATAATAATAATAATAATAATAATAATAATAAATATAATTAATATAATAGTTTTAACCTGGAGAAGGAAAGGGGGGAAGGAGAGAGAGAGGAGGGTGGGTGAGATCTCTACTCTGGTTTGACAATGCTTCTTCTCAATAATAATAATAATAATAATAATAATAATAACAAACCACTTTCTGCCTTCGTGAATGTAAGGGACAGTCAAAGCAGTACTGAAAGATGGCCATCCATTCTTAATAATAATAATAATAATAATAAATATAATTAATATAATAGTTTTAACCTGGAGAAGGAAAGAGGTTAGGCAGGCAACAGGCAGGTCTCTGAGTGCTGCACTGCTGTGTCTCTTTGCCCAATGCACGCAGGCCAGAGTGAGGAACGAGGTGAGGTGACGACAGGAGGAGAGGAGAATTTGATCCACTTAAGCAGAGGCCAGGGACCCGGAAGTGGGGTAAATGCCGACCGCTTGCAACCAGGGAGAGGGGAGGGAAACAACTATAAAACTTGCACCAGACACATACGGAAATAATAACGAAACAATAACAAAACAATTACGAAATAGCTTTAAAAATTCGTTTCGTTTTTTAGTTGCTCCTGGATGGTTTGTTATCGCTTCGTTTACCCAAAAAATAACGAATTATTAACGAATTACGAAATTAACGAACGAAACCGCCCAGCCCTAATGTCTGACTCTGAGGGGTTGTGCTCATCTCCATTTCTAAGCCAAAGAGCCGGCGTTGTCCGTAGACACCTCCAGGGTTATGTGGCCAGCATGACTGCATGGAGCACCGTTACCTTCCCACTGAAGCGGCACCTATTGATCTATTCACATTTGCATGCTTTCAAACTGCTAGGTTGAAAGAAGCTGGGAATAACAGCGGAAGCTCATGCCGCTCCCCGGATTCGAACCTGCGACCTTTCGGTCAACAAGTTTAGCAGCTCAGCGGTTTAACCCACTGCGCTACCGGGGGCTCCGATTTGCCCTACTATTAGGGAAAGCATTTTAAACCTGGCTCCTATATGAATGTGAAGTGAGTGCCAAAGAAATTCCTTTGACGACAGTGTCATACAATAACTCACTGAACCTTTAAAGAGTGTTTTCCACCTCTTACACATGTCCCATGGTTACTTGTTAAAGTAAGATGACATGAGTTTCAATTCAGATGACAAACTCCTGTCAACTAAACAGCTCGTGTTTAACCTTAAGATGTGTGTTCTTGCAAAAATTCAGAGGGAAATGTGTCTATTTTCACAGTTCCATCAATTTCAAAAATTATGATAAACATTCCTACAAAGATAGACATTCCTACTTTTGATAAATTTGCTTAAGAGTCCAATTGCATTCTTGTGAAAACTGCATTCCCGTGGTATTTCAATTGCTTCACATCATTCCAATATTTTAATATTTTAATTATATATGAGAGTGGGGTCCATATAGAGAACCATCTTCTGTAGTGTAGCATGGCTAATAAATACTGATTCTACTAAGGGATGCTTTACACTGAAAAATCCTCCTTACCACTTCAGACTATTTTTATCATGAAGAGACTCTCTTAATAGACCTGGGTGTCATTTTCTGTTCCTTTGGCTCAAGAGCTTTCCAAAATCAGTGGGGAGGAAGGGAATTAAGTAGTCAAGAGAGTTAGCGGTGTCTCCTTCTCTGGGCATTCTCTAAAAGAAATCTGGATAACTATCTGCTGAGGATGTTTTAGGATTGATCTATTGCGCCATATAATCCAGTATCTGATCCCAGATTATCTTCTTTGAACTGGACTATCTGAGTCTACACAGTTAGATAACCTAGGATATACAGATAATCTGGGATCAGATACTGGATTATATCACAGTGTAGAAGAGGCCTTAGCTGGAGATTGTACTTAAAGTCCCAATTCTATTATTCTACAAAAATACACAATAGAGGAAACATATGTCCAAATAAATCTAGTGCCTTGACCTTAAATTTCAAAAAATATCTTTAAAGTTGAGTCACTGATACATTTTAAGAAAGTACCATACAGAATGAGCCAGCTCCACTTTTAATAGGAAGCTTGATTTTGGAGGTGGAAAAAGAGATGGCAACATAAATTTGTTTCTGTGCCTAATGATGGCCATGCATGAATCATCTTTTACATAGTTTTCCAAAGAATGAAGCAAATAGCAAATACAAACAATACAAACAGTGGAAAGCTACGCATACATACAACAACAAAATAGAGAGCAGAAGTGCAGGGAAAGCATTAAAAATAACCCCAATCAAATTGAAGACTTTGAAATAATCTCTAGTACCTTTACCTGGAGGGGGTTCTTTGTGCTTATGGCAATGACGTGATACTTGTAATAACACAGCTCACAGCTCCAGCATCCCCTCTCGCTGATCCATTTGATCAGGCAAGGTTGGTGTGTGCATTTCACTGACCCATCGCACCGACATGGACTCAGTAACTCACCCTGAGGGGAAAGACAGAGAGAGGGGGGAATCAAAAGCTCATTCTTTCTTGCTCCACCCGAAAGGAGTCAAGAACATAGTCTGCTTTGCAAGATCATGACGATGGCATTATTCTCCTTTCCAGGGGCAAAAACAGATAACATTTGCATACTTCACAGAGCCCCACTTTGGTACTTTCCACATAGGTCCTCTAACCTTCAGAAGCAGTGTCATCAATAATAGTTGAAAGCTATAAGGCAGTGGTACCCAACCTTTTTTTTTGACCAGGGACCACTTGAGCAGTAACCACTTGATCAGGGATCACTTTGACCAGGAAGCACTCTCCAACATTAGTATCAAAAGGGTGACAAATCCGTTTTTGGCCAGCTTTAGACTTGGTTTGGTTATTTGGGGTGTGATTCAGAAAATTGCATTGGATAGACCACGTCAGCTCTAGTTTCTGATACAGAACATATGTCATCCAGTAGTCGCCACCTGCTCACCCACAGAAAACTATATTTAATAATCTAGAGCTGATATGTCATGAATGATTTTTCAATAACTTTAAAGCATAGGTCCTTTTTATGGCAATTTCCAATGTGAGAGGGTATAACAGAACTTTTACAGAACTTTTACACAAAGAATGACATTGGACATACAGACATACAGATTCTATGCAACTACATTGGATTCACAATTACATTGGTTAACAAACAAACAAAGGGGAATTATATTTTCACTCAACATTTACACACATGTACATGCATTCATCCTCATGCACCCAAATACTATTATATCATTTTCTCCCTCCATTGAGAAGCACCTGCTAGGCCAGATCCTACTTTCCTGCAGCCTGCCAACGCACAGTTCCAAAACTTCCATAACGCCAAAACTTCAAAATGCCGAAATGCCAAAACTTCTTTTTCTAAGAACAATGCCAAGGACCAGATCTCTGTTTTCCTTACAGCAGAATCTGACTCCCTGCACAAAATCTAAGACTCCAAAAGCACACTTCTTCCTCTTCACTTGAGAAAAAAGCCCCAAAGTGTCCAGAATCATGCTTTTCCATAGCATATCTGACACTCTCCGAATATACCATCTCTCTCCTTCCCACAGAGCAGAGCATGGTGGGTGAACCAGACTGCTCAGGTCTGTCACACTTTGAGCATTATTAGATTGAGTCTTTTATAGGAATATTCTGCTGATGTAGTCCCAAAGTTGGAAATGAATGATAGACTTCTTCCATCCGGGCTCCATCTCAGTTTCTTGGCCAGATGTTGATTCTTCTTGATTGGTGTTGATCTTAGGTTGACTTCCTTCTTAGCAATGTAAACATTTCTATTATCACTGTCCCAGTTCTTATCAGACTTTACTTTTCAGTTCTTATTAGCAACTTTTAATTACAGTCCATAAAGCAGGTAGTTAGTCATTGCAGGCCTTGGTCTTTTAGAATTGGTGTCTCCAAAATTATTAACTCCATCCATACATCCTTCCATTCATTCCCACACATATATTAAATCCACATTGATCAAATCTGCAATGATATTTTTGTGACAGATATGATAGTAGTAATCTTTTGTGGGTAGTCAACCTCTTCCCTCCCTTCCCTTGCCATCCCTGTTGCCTCTGCATTATAAGAGGGTTTCACGAGACCAGTTGCTCTCATGGCCATGTGGTTTCAAGGCAACGGTGTAGTAAGGATAAGGCTGTGGATCATATTTCCATTCTTGCTGATCACTGGTAATCCACAGACCACAGGTTGGGAACCACTGCTATAAGGACTGATGAATATTAAACCCCTGCTTCCCTTGTAGTTGAGGAACGATAATAATGCCATACCCTCCAAAAATTCACACATGAAAACTGGGGCATATGTGTGCTCAACATGGCAAAAGGTTTTAATAAGGGAGAACAGACAACTTTGGAAAACCTGCAACAGTTTACTTTGGCCTAAATCTAGGAAGGGCAAGATTCTTCCCCAACCTATCATCTTTGAAATCATATCATAGCAGTTGAGGTAAGCTGAAGACAAAGAAGCAAATGGTAGGAAGAAAGAGACACTGAGACATTTTAAAAGCAGCTGAAAAAATGGGATAATAGAGAATTTAGAGGACTATTCCTACCAAATTAGAATTGTTCGAGGATATGTAATGTTTGATACGTGTTGGCCAAAGCCACAGAAAGCCATGTAATTGGCACAAAGGGAGACTATTTGTGGCCTTCCAGATGTATTTGGATGACAATTCCCAATAGTTGTGGTCAACATGGCATAATGGGTTTGCATTTCAACAAAATCTGACCACATGTTGCTCATCCCTGGGGCAGAAGAACAATTCGAGTTGTATTTATACAATAGGACTATGGGTTTGTCTACATTGTCTCAATAGGGCTAACTGCAATCATTATGCTAATTAATTTTTAATCCTTAGAGCAATAAATGCATCTGGTTAAGTAATTTTCCAGGCTCTAGTCAACATTGTCATTTTTCCATGGTTTCTAATATGGTGACTTGGAATCAGGCAAACCAGAAATCCTGCCAGAGCGGCTTGGCATTCAAGTTAGGTTGTTTCCAGAAATGCCATTAATATTCATTGCATTGTTATAAGATACAAACTGGTTTATAATGAAAAATGGTAGGTTCTGCCCTTCTCCTTCATGCAAATTCAAGAGGTTCTGTCATCTAGCAATCTATATGTAGCAATCTACCCAGCAAAAGAGCCTGGAAATAAAGAGAGCTTGGTTATACTTGTCTCAGTGCCTTGCACACCAGACAGATGGATTTGGCAATCCTGATGCCACTACAGAGTGTAATTATGGGATGGGGTGGAAGGCGGGGGAACATTTGAAGTGAAGAAAGTGGTTTGAAAAAAATGCTACTAGCTAGTTGCTTTCTCTTTTCGAAGGCTGCTGGAAGCCATGCTGCACACAGACAACACTTGTTTCTGATTTCATTGATTTAAAACACTAATCCATGGGCATGGAAAAGTATTGAGCTTGAATGTTTCCTTAAGCAAAGCCTTTGTGAACTAAGGTTAGATGCAGCTTTCATGAAGGGTGAGGATAACTATGAAGGACAAATCAGTAGGGCAGTTCATGACCACTAAAGGAATCCAGTGCAGCAATACTGAAATATTGCTTGCCTACACTTTCCTAAACAAATTAGGATAGAAGGGATCTTCCATGATGAGGCATGAAAAGAAGAATGAGAAGTAATTACTTCATGATGGCCAACAAATTTTCATAACCCTTTATATAAACTTCTCTGCTCTCCAGTATAATAATAATAATAATAATAATAATCATCATCATCATCATCATCATCATCATCATCATCATCATCATCTTTATTTCTATCCCGCTACCATCTCCCCGATGGGGACTCGGTGCAGCTTACATGGGGCCAAGCCCGGACAACATAATACAGCAATAAAATCAAATCATATACATCAGACAACAACAACATTATCAAAATGACATTAAAATAATATTAAAATAATAATAGTAATAATAGAATAAAAATAAAATAAAATACCAGTAGACACAATCACGATAGAAATGACAATGGGCGGGCCACATATTCCGAATAAAAACAATTAACAGACTATGGTGAGATAAAATAGGAGCAGGAAGTTTAAATGGAATTCATAAAACACACAGAGTTATGGGGCAGAACATCCTATTTGGAGGGCATGAACTCCATTAGCCAAAAACGTTGAGAGGGTATAAAAAATCATACTGAGCACCTACTCACCAAAGGCGCTTTGGATAGGGCTGCCAGAACTGAAAAGTCAACCCCTAGTTCCACTACCAACTGATTTGACATTGGGGTATTTCTTGATGAAAGTGATTCCCAGCTTTTTTTTTAGTTGTGACCCCAAATTATAGAGACAAAATGACCCCCGACACCAATATATTAAAAATAGGGTTTTTAATAGAGTACATGAAAACACATTGAAAATAAATTTTCAGTATAATATAATTCAAAATACAGTTAACTTATGGTACATTTAATGTGATGATTAAAACTGTAACTCATTAACAAGCTCAAAAATTCACGGTTGAGTTTTTGTTAATGCCAACCTCATGTCCTTCTCAGTATTTAATCTGATTCTTGTTTTGGTTTTCAACTGAAGAAATGTTGACAATCCATTCTCACAGAGACATGTAGAAACAAAGGGGAGTTGAAATTGAAACACAAGTGATGGGGAAATTTAGTAGACGTGATTTTTTGTTTTCCCATTTTTAAATTTTCATAGCTCACCATTGCCCGATAACCCCCACCCCCAAAAAACCCCTTTGTGACCCCATCTGGGGTCGTGATTCATGGGTTGGGAACAATTGTTCCAGAGGAACAAATGCCACAATGCAGGGTTGGATCTAGGTCACAGGACATCATATTGTTCAGCATGCAGTGAACAGTGAGCGAGAACCCTGCTATCTCCCATTCCCAGGCTATAGGTTGCAGGAAGTTGCTGTACAGCCACATCAGGCAGGCCACATGATGCCATTTCTGATTTAGGGCTTTGAAAGTAACAATTGGTTTATAACAAAAATAGACCAATTTCATGATTGGCATAGCTGTAGCTACTAAGCAAAACAACTCTACCAGAGCCCCAAGTAATGGCATGCTCAGAAACTGGGATCTGATAAACATGATGCACATATGGAAGTGGAGCACAATGTCGTTCATATTTGTCTACTGAACCATATAGGTGCGCAAGTAACAACAAGCTGGCTGTTTTCCCAGGGTTTCTTGCAATACTCAGTGAAGGGCAGTAAAAAAGGGTATAGATAATTCAGGTAAATCAGCGGTCCTATTTTATCTTATTTGATGTTCTGCTTCATTGCAAGTAGCTTACGATAATATTCCCAATAAAATTCAACAAACAGTCAAGGTACCACCATCCATTTTAACACCATAGACACTCAGTCATTTTAAAGAGCTAGTCACGGGTGTTTGTGTGTCTAATGCCTAAGTGAAGTATGGATTCTCCTTGCCAGAATTATTGGGTGTCTGGCACTG